CCCCCGGCCTCCAGGGGAGACGCGAGACACCACTGAGCTGGCAGGCGGCCTGGCCTTCCTGTTCGACTCATATCTCTCGAAAGCCGCGCGCGCACAGGTCTTGGGGACCCACCACCGCCCTGCGCAGCACCCATAGAAACGTCGCTCGCTGCATAAAGGGGGGGGGTGTCAGGGCGGGAGGGGACAGGATGCCCCGCCCCAGCCCCAGGGGTCGCGCCGACGCCGTGCGTTGCTGGAGCATCGCCCCTCGCACCATGTGTGCACGGCCTCTCCTCGCCCCCCTGTCCCCGGAAGCGACCGTGCTGGCCGTGCACCAAGTATCAACCCGTGACTGCCCCCGTCCTTTGCGCCCCGCCGCCCCGCGCAGCTGGCGCGCAGCTGGGGCAGCCTCCTGGCGATGCTGCCCGTCGGCGGCGACCGCGTCTGGGGCAACGCCACCTGGGCGCCCGACGACGTGTCATCACCGGAGCTCGTCGCCGCCGGCCGCAGCTTCGGGGGCGTCGTGGCGCGGGTGGACACGGAAGACGCAGCTCTCGGCGATGCAGCGGTCTCCAACGACACCGGTGCCCTGAGCGCGGCGAATCTGGAGTTGCTGAAAGCGACGCTGACCGACTGGGTCAGCAGCTTCGGGGCGGCTGCCAAGGCGGGGCCGGCGGCGGGGGAGGCGGCGGACAAGGGGGGAGGGGGCGGAGGCGAGGAGGCAAAGGAGGCCAAGAAAGAGGTGAGCCTTATGGGCTGCGGTTTATGTGTTTGTGTGTGTGCGCGCTTGCATGTGTGTGTTTTTGGAGTATGTGTGTGTGTGTGTGTGTGTGTGTGTGTGTGTGCCTATGCGTGTGTGTGCGTGTGTGCATGCGCACACGTGCATGTGCATGGGAGCGGGTGGGGGTGGGTGCGTGGGTGTATGGTTTCACTCAGGGGTTGATGTGAAATGCCTGGCCTTGCAAGGTTAAAAGGTTCAATGTGAAGGGGATCGCGGCGCTGCTTCAGTGTCAAGGGGGTGGCGGCGCTGCCTTGCCAAGAAGGGCGTCTCGAGCCACACGGCAGTGTCCCCCCGTGCCCGCCAGGATGCCGCGACTCGCCCACCGCGCCCCCAGCCGCCCCCCCTTGGCAGCCTGCACCCGGCTGCTTGTCCTGCTGCTGGCGAGTCGTGGAGGGGCAAACGAACACCGCTACTGAGCCCCCTTAGTTTGCACACTAGCATTCAAATCTGCCATCCTCGTTGCACCCATTCTCTCCCTCACACGCGCACTTGTGTGTCTGCACGTGTGAAAACACGCATACACACTTGCGCACACTCACATGCATACACACACTCCCTCTCTCTCACTTTCTCGCGGACAAAAACACACACACACACACACACACACACACACACACACACACATCGTGTGGCATTCCCATGCGTGTGCAGTTCCTGGACGTGAACCAAGCCGTCGCAGCCCTGGCCGCCACCGCCGGCCTCCAGTTCACCCGCAACATGCAGAATTGGTCCGCGGCCGCCTCCCACCTCGACCTGTCTGACGTCATCAGGCGTCACGAGGAGGTGGAGGCAGAGCTGGAGCGCAAGCGCGCCGCGGGCGAGTGCGCCGCCGCCGCCGCCGGCCAGTGCGGCGGCGCGGCGGGCGCGGGTGACGGGGACGCTGATGCGGTCGCCGCGGCGATGTCGATGGGAGAGCGGCGGCGGGAGAGACGCGCGGAGCGTGCCCCGCGGCGGCCGGCGGTGCCCATCGTCGACGTCACCCGGCGGCCGCTGCCCAACGCGCCGTCCTTCTCTCTGTACTGCCTGTGAGTCTGCGGCCCCGGGGACTGCATTTGGGCAGCGCGTTGTGAGTGTAAACCAGGCGGTTGTGGCCCAAGCATTCATGTATGTGTCTGCAAGAGGCCGGCGCTGCCCCCCCTGGAAACGCCCATGCGCGCCGTGTCCCCCGCTTCAACTGACTGAATCCTGTCGGGGTCACCCATCCAGCGGCCCTGCCTCTGCATTGTCCTGTGACCCTGCTGACCTTTCTCTGCTGCTTGGACGCTCCGCCCCCCCCACCTTACCCCCCAGATACGGCATGGGCACCCCCACTGAGCGTGGCTACCATTTCCTGGTGCGCCTTGGCTGAACGGATTTTCAGCTTTTGGGGCGGTCATACAGTTTCAACGGCAACGCCGCGGCTGCACCACGCGGGGCGGTTGCTTGGCGCGAGCATGGCGCCGACTGGCTGATGTGGGTGCGCGGTGTTTGACTGGCACGGCCTGGTTTGGGGCTTTGCTGTGCGTTGGCCTCCCGCCAACACCACAGCCGAGCCTCACCATGAAGTTTGCGACCATCAACTCGAATGCCCAGCCACTGCACACACGACACACGGTTGGACAACCCCGCCCCTACATGTGCGCGTGCCGCCGGCCCGCAGCGCACCAAGCGCCAGAACTTCACTGAGTGGAGCATCAACAAGGTGGCCAGCGACCCACCCACCGGCCTGGTGCGCGGGGATTGCATTGAGGGGTGCAGGGGATCGCACCCCTCAAATCGGCCCTTGCCCTCGCCGCCGCAGCTGGGCTTGGGGCACAGCAGGGCAGGGTCTCCGTCGCATGCAGCCGAGCGGCGCCGGGCAGGGCAGCGCCAGCACGGCCGCGCGACGTCGCCGGCCGCCGCGGCGCGCCTCCGCCCGGCCGGCCGCTTTGTCCGTGCTGCCGATTGATTGCCTCAGGCTTCAGTGCTTTCAGGGTTTAGGCGTCAGGGCATGGGTGTTACCTCCTCTCCTCTTTGCCCCTGCAGGAATCTGGCTCCCAGCTCAGCGACGGCGACGGCACCGTCCCGCTGCTGTCCCTGGGCGCGCTCTGCGAGGGCGGGTGGCGATCGCAGAAGCTCAACCCCGGGGGGTCCAGGGTGGTGGTGCGGGAGTACCCCCACGACCCGGTCTACTCCATCACAGACCCGCGGTGAGGGCCGGGCAACAGTCTGCCGCGGCCGGCTCAGCAGCAATTCCACAAATCTGCGCGCTTCCTGGCTGGGGCGTAATGGTTTGCCGGTGACAGCAGGGCTCGGTTGGGCCACGGTTTGCATTCCCCAGCTGTTGCGCCCGTGCCCTGCTGGCTCGCCGTGCTGCTTGGCGCGGCACGCATGCCCGTGTCCCGGCTTTGCACCCCGTCAGGCGCGAGGCTACTTGCAGGGGAGATCGCTCTGCAGCTGTTTTTTGGGGGGGTTGCGCTCCACAAATGGCCGATTGGCTCACGCACACGCGCACCCTTTCGCCCCTGCCGCGCCCCGCCCTCGCAGCGGCGGCCCCGGCGCGTCGACGCACGTTGAGATTCTGGGCCATGACGGCGTGCTGGCTGACGTGCTGAGGATCGTGTCCGGCGCGGCCGACGACGGCGGTGACGAGGAGGCTGTCACGGACCGCCATCACTCCACGATAAAGGAGATCGTGGCCAGGATCGAGTGGTAGCCGTAGCTGGGCCTGGTCGGGGGTTTCGTGGTGGAGTGGAAGCCCGGGGGGCGCTGAGATCTCGTGATCTTTGCGGTGGCCGCGAGGCTCTGGTTGCTGCTGGTGGGCCCTGGCGGTGACCGGGGGGCGGGGGGAGGGGTGGTTTGGGGCCGCCGTATCGTTGGTGGTTGATGGTTGGTGTTGCTCAGCCGCTGCACAAATCGCAGCAGGCGGGTGTGAGCAATGTACGCCATGCATGTCGAGGGCGCTTCCTTTTCATGTGGTGGTGGGCTTTTTGAATCTTCCAAGGGCTTCAAACATGACACCGCAATTGCATGTGCAAGGCGCATTTGCTTTCGGGCAACGCTATACTTTGGCCCAAGCCTTGATGTCGTTAGAAAGCGGGGTGTTTAAAGTCAACCACACTGAAATGCTCACCTCAAGGCATGCAGCTTGCACTCAATATCACTACGCTGCTGACAGCCACTCTTCCGGTCTGGCATCAACGACCATGCCTGATTTCAGTCTGTAAACACTGGCAAACGCTCATCTCACCGAGTTTGACCCGACCCCAGGGGCTTGATGACGGCGGGTTATGGCACCGATATTCGGCGCAAGGTGCGAATTTTACGCCGCACCGCAAGCATGCATGCATGGCGTTCATAAGCACCAATTGAGTGTCCTGCGTTCTTGTCACCACCACAGTGGCCTGAGCAGCGGGGAAGATGCCAGGCCGCATGGAGTCACACGTCACAATTGCAGCAGCGGCACGTGTCACTTGGAGAAATAGCTGTGCGTGCGCGCGTGCGCGCGCGTGCATGCGTGCGCGCGCTCGCATGCGCACATGCGCGCCCGCATGTGCGCCTGCATGCCTGTGTGTGCGTGCGTGCGGGCGCGCATGCGCGCGCACACACCCCAACTCCCCAACTCAGCAACCACGCGCAGTTCATTGCTGAGAGCACAAGCAGCAACTGGGACGTCCTAGAAGATGCCGGGCCCTCACGTCATCAAACAGTCTTGTCTTGTCCGACAGGCCAGACAGATCAGCAGGTCGCGCAACGCACTGCCACTGCTGCATCTTGGGCTGTCGTCCCACAAAGCCCGCCGCCACACAAAGCCAGCGCCCCACTGGAATGCACGTTGCACCACAAGCCCAGGGTCACCCCCACTCACCTACGTGGCAGCTGACGCCCGCTGACGACATGATGAGTAACCCGGCATGATGCTACAAATAGCGGCCTGGATGCTGGTGCGCTCTGATTTCTTGGCCTGTGTTTGCGCCCTTGTTGAGTTAGCGAGGTCCAGGCGCAACAATCAGCAGCACCGAGCCAGCTACAGAGCACGGCCTTGCGTCATCGCCAGGCCGCCAGCGGCGTTGTGTCACTTGGCGCCGACGCCGTTGCCACCTTGCATCCTTGTTAAGTTAGCAGATACTGCTTAAATTTCCTGGCGATTTGGCTGTCCGCAACTAATTTCGCGCTTTCGCCGGCTTGGTCACGCTCGCGCACTGTCTGTCTGTCGCGAGTGGCATCTCACCTCTGAAATCTGCGGGTTGCAGTGTCAGGCCCACCGCGGGGAAAGCCGACGCACAGCGGTCACCGCTGTGGTAGCGCACACCTCGACCCCGGCCTTGCGGTTTGCTCACTGCCCAGCAGCATCATGGCCTCCCTCCCTCCTTGGCCCGTCTTCACTGCAGCCAACAGCAAGAGCGCTGCGGTGAGCATGCGGCAGCACTGGAGGGCACGCATACAGCGCTGGGGCGAATACGATCTGCCAGCAAAGGTATGCCCGCGCAACCTCGACCATCCTGCTGGCACATCCCTGCAAAACCTGCCTCGCGCACCGAACAGCTCGAGGCCGAGAGCCAAGCGCTCATCCCAAAGCCCAGCCTGATAATGAAGATATGCGCAGGCCGCAGCCTCTGTCGAGTGAGTATTGAGACTCGGGGGCGGCCGCCTGAACAGTGGCACCTAGAGGGCTTCCACTCTATTCTTGGGCAGACGCTGCGCGACATACGCATGCTCGCTGCTGTTGCAGCTGCTTGGCAGCAGCCTGTGGCACACATGCACACACACACATCTTTACACACACACCGCATACCCCAGATCATGGAGATCATGGCGCAGCTGGACATCCCTGACAAGCTGGCCGCCGGCCCCAGGACAGCAGCCCAGGTTGCCGAGGAGGCCGGCTCCAACCCAGAATTCACGCTGCGCCTGCTGCGCGCCGCTGTGGCCGGCGGCCTGCTGAGCGGTGCGATCAGGGGCATTCCTGCGGCCGACTGGGCATGATTTTGACCGGCCCTGTTGCCATGCGGGGTGCATGGCTGACTTGATTGCACCAGGATCAACCCCAAGTCTGCTCGACAAAGCTGCCTGAACACATATTGCAATCGAAGCTTCATTCAATACTCTTTTGGTCCCCAACCAACAAACAACGCCCGACAGCTGAGCGCCAGGAGGGGGAGCTGCTCTTCAGCAACAACGCAGTCAGCGAGCACCTCACCACCAGCCACCCCGCGTCCATGCGGGGGTTCGTGCGCCACTGGGCTGCCGACTGCTTCAGTGCATGGGGTGAGGGGCCGGGGTGTGGGGTGGCAGGTGTCAAGCATCGCTGTGCACAGTCAAGCTTTGCAACGAGCAGCTATTCTGTGGCAATGGCCGTGCACTTGTTTTGCGCGCCCGCTGCAGTACGCATCAATAGGGGCTCCAGTTGTGCACGTCTTCACCAGTCGCACGCCCCCAACTCAGGCACCCTGGGGGAGACTGTGGTGGACGGCAGGCACAACTTCCCAAAGGCAAACAACGGGCAGGAAGTGTGGGACTACCTAGCGGTGAGCACCCCGGCCGCCTCTTGCTTCCCACAGCTGTTGCTGTCTGCACAACGGGCAGCGTTGAACTGGCTTGGGTCACTCCTGTTTGCTACCCCTGTGTCGTCATGGCAGTTGGAAACCTTCAACTCGCAGCCCAGGGCAGCAGCCGTCCATCCTTGTGTGTCGAATGCATCTTCATCTTCACTCACCACCACGCACAACTGCGGATGCCAGTCAGCTGCGTGTCAACACTCGTTGTTGCACAGGAGCGCCCCGAGAACCAGGAGGACTTCAACGCGGGGATGAAGTCCGTGGACGGCCTTGGGCTGGCCGCCCTCATAGCAGACTTTGACTGGGAGCGCTTTGACCGCTACATTGACGTTGGAGGCGCGTTTGGGTCGGTACTCAACGCCCTGCTCGTGCACAACCCCAAGGCCCACGGTGAGGGGCTGCTGCTTCGTTGACATGTGAAAGCAGGAACCATTGATCGGCAGAAGGGTAGGCTTTGACCCCGCCAAGGATGGGGCATGATCTCTCAGGAGGCAGGGTTACATTGACTGAGTAGTGACTGCGCTGCATCAGCAAGCATGGCAAGACGGTTGGCATGTCTGAGCTCAAGCACCACCTTGAACCTCGCACAGGGGTCCTGTTTGATCAGCCGCATGTGGCCACCGCAGCCGAGGAGGGCTGGGCCGCACGTCATAGCCACTACCCTGGCGGCGCAGTGCCCGCGGAGCGGGTCGACTTTGTGGGGGGCTCGTTCTTTGATGGTGAGTGAGGGCGCCACGGTTGTCCTTGCAGGGTCACTGAGGTGGGCGTTCCGAAAAAATACTTTGTGGTGGTAGAGCGTGATGGCTGACGGCAGAACCTCGCTCCCGGCCGACCCGCTCGTTGCACCTGCCAAAAACCGTCGCGCGCCACTTCCAACGTGCTCCTGCAGCGTCAACGCTGCCCCAGGGCAAGCCGGGCGACGCGTTTGTGCTGCGCAACGTGCTGCACGACTGGTCTGACGAGGACAGCCTCAGCATCCTCAAGGTGTGTTATGGGGGGAAGGGGGTGCAGGCACGAGCTGCATGCCGCCGCCTGATTGCGTTCCCCCCCCCATGCACCTCTGTTAATCAAGGGCACGGTTGAGAGGCACACCCCTGCGGTTCAGCTCAGCCCAAATATATGCCACTTGGTCTGTGGCACCACCCCTGACATGACGCATGGAATTGAAGCCAAGTACCATCACTCTTCCCGCACTACATGCCCGCAGGCCCTGCGCTCCGCCATCGGGTCCAGTGGCGCGGCCCTGGTGCTCCTGGAGATGTCACTGCTGGACGACGTGGGGGACCCCATGGGCTTCGCCCGCTACCACATGGTGCGGGCCACCCCATCCCACCCCCCACC